GGAGGTCTATGGTAATAGACCTAGATATTAGGTACCTAGATAAGTTGCTAGTTGAATAAGTACGTACAATATTTCCTAAATCACAACTCTTCACCTAGCAATCGGTCAAACAATATTGAGATGTAATTTGTGTATGAATTATACATTTAAACAATGTAGAACAAGCTTTATTCTCTGTCGTCACGCCTAATTTAAATACGCCTCGAGTTGTCCCTTTGCATGTATAATGGATGATATACATAATTTAAAATTGAATTTGTGTTTGCTTTTGAAGTAAAACAAACTGCGCAATAGGTAGTAGGATCGATACCGGGAGAAAAACTGAGTAATTAAATGAAGAAAATATGGCGATTTAAAAATTTATGCACTTTTTTTCTTAAAATAAAGCACAAAAGTTATTAATTTTAATATGTAATTACAATACAAGTTACAATAATATAAAGATATTAATATTTTTTTTTTTACAAAAACAGCTATTTAAAAAGTATTCTTTAAAAATAAGGCCATATTTAAATATTAAATGTCGCTCCTAAAAATAATGTTCATGTCAAATAAGTCCCTCAATAAAAAACTATCAAAAATGTTAAAAATAATTCAAGGGAAGTTTGCTGTTGACAACTAATTGTAAATCTTATGAGAAAAATACACGTTACTTTAAAACTTATAAGAATTTTAATATGTATTAATAATAAAAAAATAATAATTTATGATTAATAGTTTAAATTAAGAACAAAACTACGTATTTTGTGATCAGTGACACAAAACCTAAAAAATGTTGCTAGAGTTCGCTTTTCTATACGCTGTCATATGAACCGGAGGTCAACTGTCATGGTTATCGATCAAATAGAAATTGTAACGCGGGCAAAGACGTAAGCATCTACCTAACTAAATACTTTCTTGACTAAAAAGATCTATCCACAATAAAATCAATCTGTTAAATGCGATTTTTTTCTTATACCTACCTATATGAGACCATAGACAAAAACTAAAAATCAAATCATAATGTGAAAGTGCAATAGTAGTAAACAAGTCATTTAATGATGTTTATTACATCATCACGCTTAAACCGTTGAGCGAATTTCGATGAAACTTCGCAGATGGATAGATCATGTTCTGGAATAATATCTAAAATACATTTTTTCTCACAAATAATTGTGGTTTTCCTTGGGTAACACTTTGGTGCAATCCTCATAGAGATGCCTGATATATGTAAATAAGAAGGCGATACTCTATATGATACATTCCTCTTCAACGCCTCGACTTTGAAACTGAATATTACAAATTGTAATATACCTTATAATATCAGCTATCTGCCAATGAAAATCTCGTCTAAATCGTTCCAGGCGTTTCAAAGATTAGCCGGAACCAACAGACAGACAAAAATATTAAAAATTGTTTTTTTTATAAAAGTACCGTATAAAATTATTTTATATGCATTTAGTAAAAAGCTGTTATTTTGATATTACAAACAGACACTTCAATTTTTATCTACAGACGTAAGCCTAGTGCCGACTAGGAAAAGTATTAAAAGTATTAGAAAACTGCAACGGGAAATTACGTATTTTTATTTTTAAATCTTCTCAAAAGTGAGTTACAATGTTGTTCTTTGCAGATGTCTAATACCTAATAGAGTCGTGTCGACGTGTATAGTGCTCGGACCAAAATCATTATTGAAAATTTAGAGAAAGTGTATAAGTATGAATAATAATAATAATGTCCTCCCGACTGATTCCGGCTACGACGGCCAATCTCAATGCCAACTGCGCAGGAGATATTATAGTGCACAAGTGTACGCGCAGACACAAGTGCACTCTCTATTCCCGTCACTCTCATACTCCGGTGAGACGACTACTCGACACGACCAATGAGAGTTAAGGCGCAGGACCGACGGCTTTACGTACTCTCCGAGGCACGGGTGTGACACATATCCAACTTCCCAACTCCGGGCTTTTACTAAGACTTACTAAACAGAAAGACTCAACAACTAAACTTGGCCCGACCCGGGACTAGAAAGTAGGACCTCACTACACAACTGAGGCAGACAGAATTTACCTATCTATATTAAAAACTGTTTCCAAAATTTTTATTCATAACACAAAAGCTCACTAGCAGCTACTAAGCAATAGCAAAAAAAAAATCAATTGACAAAGAGAAAAGGAAAAAACGTACTGAACTGTTTTGTCTTTGCCTATTTGTATGTTGGTATTTCTCGAACCATAATAACTCAAAGATGTTATTATATATAATATATAGATTTAAAAAAAAGTATACTTTGCTAAAAAATATCTATGACAAAAATTACCACTCTAACTTATAATACTTGTTAAACTTTTTCCTTCACCATTAGGTACAAAGCAATAAAGTATTTATATTCGAATATATTATACACAAGATTGACTACAGAAATCTAATCATAATTTGCTTAGGCAATTATGCAAAATGGTGTTAATTAAGATATTACAAGCAAAATCCTCGAGCTGATGATTTTTATTACAATGAAGAAATTTTAATAAATGCTAAACATTCAATTTAATTGGAAGCCAAGAAAATTACTTTGACAAAAAAATTACACTGTCTTCAAAATCAATATATTAGTAATTATCTACATAAAATACACAAAAAATGCGTTTTTTTTTCAGAAAGATAACTATATATATACATATAAAGATAAAAAGCAACACCATATCTAAATACAAAAAATCCAAATCGCAAGAGCGGTTGCCGAGATGCACTAAATAAATTTTTATAAGTATATACAAGAATTGCTCGTTTAATATTATAAGATTATATATTTTAATCGTAAGAATGTACTTATTATGAATAATAAAAAAAACACCTATCCACAATTTGTGTTGATTCGTTGTAACAAACAGATAAAAAACGAACGAATACGAAAAAAGGTAGTTATACATTATAAACTCGGTCATAAAAGGACATAACTCGAGTTCCTACTCGCGACGCAACTCGGGTGCGTGTTTAAGTATTTATAAGCAAATTATTTCTTTTTTTAATTGATAATTTTTTTCACTAAGTTGGTAAAATTTTAAGAATAAATTCCACTCCTCTTGTTTCAGAACGGTCCGAAAATAGTATATTTTAATTATTCATATTAGGTACGAATTATATTATACTACTTTAAATTATACTCTATGTCTATTTTATATACTTGTGGTCGTCCAGTTGTCGAAATTCGACCATAATATTTTTTATTGATAACACAGAAGTTTATCAATAGGTAATAAACAAAAAAACGGTTATCAAAGCAGAGGAGAAAAAGGTACAGAAGTGTTTTGTCTTTGCCTATTTGTATATATTTACATAGATTTATTCAGTGGTAAATCGGATTTGCGTGAATCGATTATTTCTATTCTTTATCGAATCTAATTGGACCTATGCTCTCAAACCTTAATATAAAATAATGTTTTCTTTATAAACCTCTAAATCTTCCTCGTGTCTTCTTCGTTGATTTGAATTGAACCACTAAAGACATGAGAATCAAACATCAACAAGTAGCATACCTACCTGCTCATCATATATTTGTATAGTTAATTAGAAGTAAAATTAGCTACCAAATTAGAGTGTTAATTGCTTCGTAATTCGACTCCGTTACACTTTGCGCCTGTGGAAATTAGATAGAGCCTCTCGAACTTTCATATGGCCTTTGAGTTCTCTTAAAGAATAAAATTCACTACAAGAGAAATACAAAGGAATCTTAAGACTAGAGTGTACAGTATAATAAAATATAACATATTATATATATATATATTTGAGAAATCGTTAACTAGGTACATACCTACCTCGTTAAAATTTTAAAATTTGAAATAATTAAAATTAATAAAAATGAAACAATTCATAATTTTTGCTATTTATTATTCTCCTACTTTAATATTTTTTAATTTTTTACAGGAGAGCTTGATGCCACTTTTGAATAGTATTTAATCTGGTTAAATATAATTCAATTAATTCGCCATTTTGTTAAAATGAATAAAAAAATGGGCACAAGCTCAAAGCTACTAAATTGACATAACATTATGTCAATTTAGTAGAATCTATTCTTATTAGAAATTCAATCTCTACAGCAATCATCTACAAAATATAAAAACTTAAAAAAATCATTTACGAAGTCGGTATGCTTTGATTTGTATCGGTTGGCACCGACTTCAAACATATCTAATTAGATACCTATAGCAAATGAAAACTACTAATCAGTTATTTTTTACTTTTTATTGTTTTTTTTTTTTGAAGTCGGATTTTTTTAAGTTTTTATTTTTCTCTTTTTAATGTAGACATAGTAGTACCCAAAAGAAGAAAAAAGCATTTTAATAAAATATTCGCTTAAGCCGTTTAAGTTAGTTTGATGCCAATTTTATATGATGACTGACTAATTAAAATTCGCTTTTATTAGTAACACTAAAAATCAGATCAGATCAGAATCTAAAATCCAATTCTAACGAATTGTACTTGTCATATCAAACAAAATAAGCTCAAACTCAAAGTAAATAGTAGTAAAGTATATAGGTTGGTATAAAAAGGTATACCTACATACTATTAGCCGTTAAAGAATTACTCCTCCACCTTCTGTCCTTACCATCCTCCTTCATCCATCCTTATTAACGGCAATCGAAACACTTGCAGAGTTTCAAGTCAATATAACAGTTAGAAGTAGGTTAAATTTTCATTAACTATTTTTCCACTCTCTGGGGTGGTATTTTATTTCAAATTTAAATGGGACAAAACTGAAAGTATACACTTTCAAAAAAAATAATAATTGTCTAAATCAGTTAATAAATGACGACGTTCTTAGGTAACAAACATTAAAAAAACAACCGAATTAAAAAAAAAACTCCTTTTTAAAGTCGGTTGAAAAATTAACCTACTTAACACGTCTAATTATTATTCTTAAAACCACTGTTTCAACACTATTAAATAAATAATCGTATATTAATTATAGTCTACCTTTGCACAGCATAGAAATAAAAATAAAATAACAAAAAACTTACCGGAACTAGGTCGATCACTGTATCTCGTGCAATAAACCCAAGCCGGCCACAGCGACCCATTGCCTTGAGAGGTCTGACTATTAGTATCTGTACTCCCACAAGTGGACAAACCGCTGGAGGTTGAGGAGACTATAGAACTGGCCGAATCTGGTCGTTTCTGGGCTTCCAGGATCTTTGGTACTTCCTTCTCTTTCTGGACTTCACCAATATTTGACACAGTCTGTCGTAGACCACCAAGCGGCGGCATAGCACTAAAATCATCCTTAGACTTGATGTAATCGAAGTTAAACTTTGTATAATCCTTCGATAAATCGTACGGTTTGTATAGAATACTGTGGTTAGGCCCAACCGATTTAGGACCTTCTATTTTATTGGTCTTCCTGATCGCATTCAAACCGAATTCAGGATGAAGGATGTTTGTTATTGAAAAAGCAATCGACGCCGCCGCTTGTTGTCGATTTCGTTTATCCGGGTCGAATCTGTCGTCAGGGATAACCGGTTTCACATCTGGGGTTTCCGGTCGATAATAATTTTGGTAGTCCATCTCGTTTTGGTCCTTAGGGCTGGGTGGAGGAGAGTTAGGTTGGATCTTAACAACTGTCATGTTAGATCTGTCGAATCGTGGATCGATCGTTGTACAAGTATACTGGTTTTGCGGATATAGAGTCATATTCGAGTTCGCGTGCGGCGCAGGCACTCTACCGGCGACGGGTCCGGGGCTGTTTGCTTGATTCGGACTGCAGCGGTCTTCGAACGCCATTACAAATACAACATAAATATCAATGTCTCATGTTCTAATTGCACTTCTCAGGTCGTGACAGCTGTCAGTTGTGTCAGAAACGTCAAGTCGACGCGGGATGCGCTCGCGGCTACGGCCACGGATCGACTGCGCCCCACGCGAGACGGAAACGACACGCCCTAGTACAAACAAGGCTTTATCCCCTCCCCTACTTTGTAGTAGGCGTCGCTTTCGTTTTGATTGCCCAACGACACAACATCGTCCCTCCCTGCTACTCTTACGTGTTTTCCCTATCATGAGACAGAGATAGAGTCCTGACAATTGATTTAACGTGATTGTGTACTTAGGGGCGAGGAGATTTGTAATTCAGTTGTAAATTGCTATGGCTCTCTTCGGGATCATAATGTATCAATAATACTGCGGGCGCTTTGAACTCGGCGCAGAATTTCAATTAAATTTTGACTGAATTATTATATTGACAGGACGCCATCTTGAATTATATTTTTAGTGATTAGGCAATTTCCTAAATTACACGAGCTTTAATTAAGTTGTATGTTACGGTCGTCTAATTTGTGGATTGGTATTTGACATGCGGTTTTTTTATTTATGACTAAAGCAATATTTAGAAAAGCTTAATCACTAACTGACTGACTTCAAAACCAGTAGAGCTAATACCATGAAATTTGGTCATATGATAGTTTTTTAATTTAGAGGTCCGTGTCGAAAGGATTTTTGGTAAATTACATTTTACGGAAACATTGTAGTCAATTTCATTATGAAATATAAAATTGAATACAAATGCTTTATATAAAATATTAACATCAGATGCGTTTGCTTTGTAAAATCCCATACGCAAATAAGGAGTAGGATATAGAGCACTTTGTCACATAAATCATGAACTTCGTTCAAAGCTAGTAAAAATAGTAGTTAATTTAAATTTTGCGTGGCGGGTAATAGCCCTTATCGATTCTGCAGGCAATCAAGGTGTATAGTAGACTAAAACTATTAGGCTAATTCAAGTGATCTAGGTGCACTCAATCGTTTTGACCCTACATTCTTAATATATACCCAACTGGATACCTAATAACCGGTCGTGATATAATTAATTGTAAATTATTCCTTTGAATACTAAGTAGTAGATTAAATTGATAAAATTATATCGCTGCTATTAAATATTACATTACATGAATAGATAAGGGACAAATATAAAGTATAGTTATAGTCTAAGAATCGATTCTAGTTCGGGAACCACTTAACGTACCTACTCTAAAAAATAGCAGATATTTATGTCTGTCTCCGAGTAATAAACTATCTTTATTTACGGTACTCTTCATTTAATGTAATTAACAATAATTAATGCGTACGGTGCCCTCCAGCTAGATGGAGCTACGATATATGAACATACGAGTACGTAAAGTGGCTGGCAGCGGTTGTATGCGTAGTTCTGAAGATCAAGCCCAGTGGCGCGCCATAGCAGAGGCCTATCGTCCAACAGTGGACGAAAGCAAGCTGAATATGATGATGATGAATGCGCAAAAGACCAATATACTTTTCATCTTTATCAGGGATCAGGTCCATAGTCCATTGCCATGGCTGAGTGCGGGCTAGCCGACTTTACATATCTTTCGAAAACTTGCTAGTTTCTCTCAGACATGTAGATTTCCTGACAATGTTTTTCTGCATCGTAATACAAGTGGTAGTCATGTTGAAAATGATTCGCACATGAATATCAGAGGTGCGAGGTCCGGAATTTGAACACGCTTCACTCGGTTTCCCAAGCGTGCGCGTTACCACTGGGCTACCACTGCTAATATTATTTCATTGTTATCTGTCACATGAAGTTATATAACACTAGCGACTCACCCTCGCTTCGCTCGGGTTCGTACCTACGTTGCTTCCCCATACAAACTTTCATCCCCATTTTCTCCCCCTTAAGGGATGATTTCCGGGATAAAAACTATCCTGTATCCTACCTAGGGTCTCAAACTATCTTCTTACTCAATTCCATCTAATCGATACAAACAAATAAACAAAACAAATTTTCCTCTTTATAATATTAGATTAGAATTAATATTTAGAAAGAAAAGTACCTACAATGAGAAGTTAGACGACAACATTATACGCTATGCTCGTTGAAAACTTACATAGTAGGTACATCTTAATGAAACTTCATTTAAACTTCACGCAATATAAATATACTAAATATTGGCTATGGCTTTATCTACTTTATTAAATACATAACAATATAAATACATGCAATCTGTATGGTAACAGCTCTGCTCTTGAAGATCATATTGTGTGAGGTAGTCTTAAAACATATTAAGGTAATTGAATTACCTAATCCATTTTGAAAATAGTTTTTTTTTTAATATTTAATTATAATTTTACTAATAAGAAACGAAGTTTTTTCAATGTCTCCGTTTCTTACAATATCACGGGACAATTTTAGATATATTATAACTTCATCAAACAAGATGTCTAAATCTGACCAATCAGTGAGCGTTTAACAATTTAACGGATATCATCATTTAGCGAAATTGTCAAAATCTCATTGGTTCACTATATCACTGAATGTGCTTATTGTTAGTGAAATTATAATATACCTTCCATAGTTAGTTATATTGTAAGAAAATGAAACAATTGACAAAACTCCGGGTAATTATAATTTTACTAGGGAAATTATAATTTAACGCTTTTGACAATTTCTCTGCGACCTATACATTAGTATAGAAAGTAAATGACCAAACTTACTAATAAGAATACCCTGTCTCAAGCTAAAATCAAACATGTTACCTCTATCATATTAGACACTGCCAATTACATACAAACGCACTATAATGCAACGATTAAAAAATGGTATATAATAAATACATAACTCGTGAAGTTGTCACTTTATACGTAACATCCATTATTGATTTATTTTCGTTTTAATTATTTATTTATACAAATGAAAACTAATTATTTTAATCGCATGAGCTGTTTGCGTCAAAACAATTTTTATATGGACTTTAACAAAAAGTATGTTTTATGAAGGATCTGCACGAAAACATGTCGTTTAGAATTCCGTATAAAAAATAGTGGTAATAAAAACCCTTTGAGAAGTAACTAAAGTGTATGAGGACCTAGGTTTGGTTATTACGTAAAACACACGCAATAAAAAATAATTCCTAAAAAATATTTCTTAACATCCCAAAAATTATGTTTACAAGTTTATGAAGCTAGGATGATTAATAGTTTTATTTTTAGATTCGATTTTTTTGTGTGGGTAACACTAAAGATCGTCAATAGCTACTAAACAAAAAAAAGAAAATCGGTTGACAAACAGAGGAGGAAAACATACTGAACCATTTTATCTCTGCTTATTTATATATAGATCTCACATCTAGTCTCATAAATATCAATCAAAAATAACATCTTTAAAGGTGGAATACATAATTATTATTTCCAAAGTGTTTATAAATTCAATATACCCATTTGGTATAATATTACATTTCACATACACGAATTGAGTTCGCCCTATTTTTTGAATTCAAAAATGTATACAGAACCTAATCAATCAATAATAATTCACGCTTAACCAAACTTTTCCTCTTAATAGTCAATTATATCGACACCTTTACTCTATCATTATGCAGTGGTCATATAATAGCTGCTAACTACAAAGTATACACTTGTATAATAAAGCTATTAAAAACATCTGCTTGTGAAACATGTATTTTTAATAATAAATTGTGAAAATGGTAGTGAATTTTAAGAATGTCGGGGGTTCGATGTGGCCTGGTAGCCCTTTTAAGCCCACAGCTGGGGGTGGGCCTTCCCTTAATATAAGGGGGATCAGGCTAAACATGAACCATAGCCTGATCCCCCTTGCCACGCTGGCCAAGTGCGAGTTGGTCTACTTCTTCGTCCACTGTTGGGTAACTGACATAACTTGGTGATAATTATCATGTTTACAAATGTCGTCAATCCATTGTTTTATTGATATGTAGTAGTAAATATTTAGCTAAGCGGACTTATACACGATAGTTACAATCGCTCTGAAAAAACTCTTAATAATTTATTATGTAAGCAATCAAAAAAATTAAAATATACTTTATTCGAATAGACTTTTAAGAGCGGCTGCTCACATCCCTGCCGCACGGACAATCTAGGAAGCACAGCGGTCGGACAGTATCGGAGCTGTATCTACACACATGCCTGTTATTCAGTGTTTGGGTAGAAGTTGAGCTAAACGCACGCGTTAAGAATGGTCCCAGTATTATCGAAAAATTAAAAGACAGTGTAGCCAACACTTGAAATTTTATCCCCCTAAGAGTAATTCCAAAAATTCCTAAAACCCCCTAACTGGTAATTTGAAAAATTAAGGTTTTTATCTAATACTCATTTTATTCATTTTTAATATTTTTATTTTAAATGATTACAAGTAGCGTAAAAAACTTATATATGTTTATTATTATAACAATTATATATAACCATTTAATAATAATAATAATAAATTTCATAGATAACTTAGAAAAAAATAATTTAAAAAATAAGGATAAATGATGTAAATGATATTTAAAGAGATATGATTTTTTCAAGTCTTTAAAAGGAACTTTGTAAAACGTTATTTATATGTAAGTCATGCTATTAAAGAAAAACCCCGGTGCAATTTTTTTACCCCTAGCGCGAGCGCGAGACCATCCTTGGTCCCTCGATTGCCCCTGCCGCCCTGCCGCATTGTCGCGTATGTAGCGCGATTGGGCCAATTTTTCTGCCGATCTTTTGACAGTGTTGCCACTCAGGGATTTTCTTCCAAATTTAAGGATAAAAAGTAGGGATTGTAGGTAAATAATCTCTGATACTACTGGTCCGATTCTGGAAATTCTTTCACTAATGCGAAACAGGAAGCTACATTACCGCCGAGTGCTATAGGCTATTTTTTTACTTTAATCAAATTTCAACGTCAATGTAACTGTCAGAAATCATAATAACTTTAGTTGATGTTGGAAAAAAACTGGCAGTTGTGCCTGTCTGTCTGT